AGGTAAACGGTTAAGGTAGTATAGATAATATATATATATATATATATATATATATATAGATTTATAGATATACATCAATATAAATATATACTATTATCAATATAAATATATATGCATATATTCATAAATTGACGTACCTTCGGCCTTGAAAATCCGGATCGGATCAGAATTGCATAGTCTCCTACCTCGTGGGGAATCTGTGTAATAAAGGTATTGATAGTTAGAGTGGAGTACAGATATTGGCAGGATTAGAAAATGGATGCAAACCTGTTTTCAAAGAACATTCAATAACATAGCTCAAATTTCCATCCTAAAACTTCATCAGCTTTTGGGAAAGTTTTTGTTGTTGTTGCCAAAACATCTCTAATTGTAGGGCGCTATTATACACAATACACACATGGACTGATGTCAACATGAGTGTATAGGTAGATAGTAGGATTAAACCCTGACGCATCACTACCCAACATCACACAGTGTCTCACCATAGGTGTACAGTCACAGACACAGTGGCCATAGAAGTGCCCACTCACAGTCCACTTGTCTCACCCACAGGTGCACTCACAGTCCATTTACCTCACCTATAGGTGCACTCACAACATATAGGTGCACTCACAGTCCACTTATCTCACTCACAGGTGCACTCGCAGTCCATTTACCTCACATATAGGTGCACTCACAACATATAGGTGCACTCGCAGTCCACTTATCTCACCCCCAGGTCCACACCAAAGGGACATACCTCATGAAACAGAATAGCCAACATAGTGCTGAACCCTAATGCGTCGCTGGCCAGATATGCGGCCGCAATAGCCAAACCGTCCGTGAAGTTGTGCGAGAAATCGGCCACCAGATTTAGGTACGCGGCCACCTACAAGAATTAGAATTGGGTACATGTGTAGAAAGTTCAGTACAAAATCGGTATACTTGGAATTGTGTCAATTGTCGGACTTTCACGCAATCGGCATAAATTTGGTGTTGATGTACGGAGAAGTTAGTACAAAATCGGTATATATTTGGAATTGTGTCAATTGTCGGACTTTCACGCAATCGGCATAAATTTGGTGTTGATGTACGGAGAAGTTAGTACAAAATCGGTTTGTGTCTGAAACTGTGGCATTGGTCAGACCAATGATTGGCATGTATCACCGCGACATCGTGCAAAACAATCGTTTACCAATTTTAGGTATGCAGCTAAATTTAAACGATTTACGGAAACTTTATAGAAAAAACAAAACAAACCGCAAAGCGCTGTTGAGACACTATTTCTACCTACTTCTTCTATTGCCACAGATGGTACAGACTTCACAGAGACAGCATGCTGCGATCAAATACGTCCACATACACACAAACACGTGCATGTATGTACACATGTACACAAGAGCATACGTGCACATCTACATACACATATGCACAAAAAAGGGGTGCCAAGCAACACACCTACTGTTGGAATAGCCTCTATAGGAACAACAGGTAGCCATCAAAGACATCGACAAGTACGCAATCAAGTACATCTACATACACATGTACACAAACATGTATACCCAAGTCAAGCCAACACCACACCACACCCAACCCAACACCACACACCACACAACAGAAACACAACCCAACATACCGCAATGGGCTGCTGAGGCAGCACTTCTTCTACTACCACAGCCTCGACCACCTCCAACGGAGCCACAGAGACTGAGCGACTCATACTTCTACGCTCACGACTGCGACGATCCACCGATGCACGCACTGGCGGCTCAACGGAGACTATACAATGTATCAAATATATATGAATATATAAATATATGTATATGTGTATAGATATATGTGTGTATTAGTAAGTGAGTGTTGAAAAATACATGTATAAAACGAGCAATGTTCTGATGGTTGAGTGCGATACACGAAGAACGATTGATTTCAGTAGTGCATGATCCACTGATGCGCGCACTGGCGATTCAACGAAGACTGCACGGTGTGTGTGTATATATACACA